CCCCACGGAAAATTTGTGCGTGACAACTTTGCACTTAGCTTCAACTCTGTTTTTGATGAAAAATAGAAAGTTCTGCTGACATTCTTGCTAACTTGTTAGCGCAGCATGTTGTTGTGATCACGTGAGCGTTGCATGCTGGATCCAAGCTCTGCTGGATAGAAACACTGGAGCGGAGTCAGTGGACTGCTGGAACAGACTGCTAATATCAGAGCGCTTTTATCGGATATTTTTTATGCAGGCCGATAAAATCCGATACTCGTTTTTTGGCTGATATCAACCGATATCTGATATCAATATCGGATCGGGACATCCCTACCTGAGCGCGTCACTCCTCTTCCTCGTTCTTCATCGATCTGTTTACAAGCCTACGATAATGTGGTGTGTTTGAGGAAATGGGAAAAATAGGTTTCATGGTGCAGTCACGCACTTCCTGGTCACAAGACATTCTCTAAATGCGCACCAAATGCGTAAAAATGCACACATTATGGCAAGACTTATTCATCATTACATCTGGTTTTAACATTACTTTTATAAAGTTTGAAGTCCGTGCTGTGTAATCCAGTTCAAATGAACACTGAATGCTTGCACTGCCCTGTGAAAGCATCACAGCTTTGCCAATCTCAGAGGATTAATAGAAAAAAAATTTAGTGTATCCACATTGTGATCTGGAACATCACCAAAATTTAATGGTGTGTTACTTTGGCCCACATGTGATGTAAATGTCATGAAAATCCGTCCACAGGTTTTTGAGTAATGTTGTCCACAGACAGACCGACAAACGCGACCGAAAACATGACCTCCTTGGCGGAGGTAATTAGTAAAATAGATACAAAAGCATTCGTTGTGCCTCAGTGTGCCGACATGACATAATTTGGAGATTTTCATATTTTGCATGTTTTTAATCAGCGTTTTTTTTATTTTATTTTCAGAGTCCAGAGTCGTGGATGATTGGATTTTGATGGCATCTTGTGTTATAGGACATTCTTGAAAGCATCGCAATAAGAAAGAAATGAAATGAAAAGCCCAGAAACCAATTTATTCAAGTGGGGCTTTGTTGCTTGAGGTGTCCCCCCCACCACCTCCCACCCCACACCTTCTGTATTGCCATGTAACCCTTTACAGGACAAGGCACATAAAAACAGACATAAAGCCTTWAGTTATTACCTTTATCGCGTGTTATGGTAATACCTGCCCTGATTGAAATGCAAAGAGGGACAGGGATGCAGCGAAAGCTTCTGTCATCCATGCTTGTCTGAAAGGAAGCGTTCTATCCTAATTCACAAAATGGCAAATGATGRAATTCCTCCGAAAAATTGAGTTGCAGCCCTTCAACTCCAACATACCCTCCAGTTGKTTCAGGATGTGTTTGTGCACGAGTTGCTTTATATCGGCAATTAGTTTTAATTTGCCACGGTCCCTGCAACAGTCGTAATGGTTAGCCACTCTGTTCTGACCTTGTGCGTTAATGTTTGTGACTGTTTAGTGATAGAAGACAGCCCATTGTGACGACTGTGTACACAAGAACCGCACTACCTTTCCTGTGTCTTTGTAGTGCAACTGAGTGTCAGAGAATCCTTCCTGCCACTGTCAGAGATAATTGGCACTCTTAAACACATGATAATTGGGCTGCTTTGATCCCTGCAATTCTGCTCTGTTTTGCCAAAAAAAAAGAGGCACAGCAGTTGTGTCTCGTGTTTACCACTCGTCTTTCTGCAGCAGTGAGGAGTTGGAGACTGGAGGAAGAGCGAGGGATTCTGCTTTCTTCTGAAGTGTTAAAAGCTCCCTGCAGGCATCACTTCCTGCACCCAGCATCCTCTGCCATTGTTCCTCTGCCGCTTATGGCCGTGACTCATAACAAACTTTGTCTTTTGCACACACTTTCACACACACACGCAGGGATTAATCATGTTGTGAGTCTCCAAAATAAAATAACTTTTTTGTCCTTGTTTGTCTACGTGTTCCCTCTCAGAGAGCCAGAAGACGAAAGGTTTTTCGTCKGGGGAGAGGACTGCGGGCTTCAGAAAGTTCACGCTGAGGGACTTGGTCTTAGACGAGGCCAGCAGTCTGCTTCTTGATGAAAAACTAACACTTTCCTGTGAGGTAAGTGTGGAGACAGCTCATCTCGTCTGAACTCGGGTTGTTTGTGAAAGTGTGCTCTCTGCGTCTTCACTTTTCGGGGAATAATCACAGAACACGCTGCACTTTCATAAAGGATAATCCTTGTGAGATGGAAATTGGTTGAAATAATTTAACACAGCACACAAAAAGAGACACCTTTAACCAGAATGTGAAGTTGATCTTTCTGAATATCCAACCCCAATTGTAAAAAAAACGCTGGAACGTTGTGTAATAAGTAAATAAAAAGCAAATGCAATGATTTGCAAATCTTGTAACCCCTCTTTTAAATTCATAGTAGAACATACAGATAAGGTAATTTTGAAATTATTAGTAGCAACACATTTTAAACAGAAAAGCTAAAGACTAAAGCTTATTTAGAACAAACTGAGGCAAAAGCTGAAAATCTTATTGGAAACTATTTTATACTAAAGCAGAGAGGCACCATCTCCCTGTTAGCAACACAGTTCAAAATCCTGCCTCTCTGATGATATGGGGGTACATTAGAGCCTCTGGTGTGGACAACTTGTATGTGGAAAGTCACCATGAAAACATGAAATGGAAAATGTGTGGAACAGTTAGAATTAAACAAGAATGGGACATTCTCCTCCAGAACTTCCAGCAGCTGCTCTCATTTTCACAGTCTGTCGAAGAAAAGAAACACGGACCTGGAACAACATTTTTTTAATGCATAGCTGCCATAAAACTAGAAAATTACCTTATTTTTTTCTTTAAAAATGTAGAATTTGTTACTTTAAACATTTAATGTTTACTG